TTGTAGGCAAGAGGACCCACTGATTCGACCTTTAAAGTTATGTATGGACATGCCTATCCATTGGAACTCCACCTACTTGATGTTGGAAAAAGCTTTGCCAACCGCAAAACAGATTACAGATTTCGTCAACCGGAAGCACTATCCAGAGGAAGTTGTCAGCTATGATGATTGGGCGGTTTGTGAACTTTTTTATTCATTTCTTAAATTTTTTTATGATTCTACTAATACATTAAGTGGTATTTATTATCCGACTACTAATTTAGTGTTAGATATTTTACTTCAAATTGCTAAATCTTTGCTAAATATAGATATAATGACGTTTTAATGGAAATGGTTTCAAAGATGGAAGAAAAATACGAGAAATATTGGTTAGATATTCCATTCTTATATGGATTAGGCCTTGTTGTAAATCTTAGGTTTAAATTACACGTAGTTAACTGTATAATTACTGAGTTAGGCCAGCATTTAGGACATGATTATACGTCTTGTTTGACTGACTTTAAGCAAAAATTGGAAAGCCTTTTTTCTTTATATGAGAACTGGTATAATGGAAGTGGAAGTGGAACGTTCAGGAGAGATGATCAGGACCCTGATGCAGACCTCCGTCAAGGATTCCAACAAGTGGACATATATGGAACATGACAGAAGTAGCAGCTCCAGCTCGTACATACATGGACCAAATGAGCTGAATCGCTACCTACAAGTGGACCTGTCCTACATGACGATGAAGGAGAAACGTGACATGGATATTCTTCAATGGTGGAACCAACATGAAAGTCGATTCCCCATTGTAGTCCAAATGGCACGTGACATTTTATCTGTGCCGGTTTCTACAATTGCATCTAAGTCAACATTTTCAACGAATGGCCAGATTATTGAAGACAGAAGATGTTCTTTAACTGATGAGATGATTGAAGTGATAACATGTTTACGGGATTGGACTCATGCAAAAAGAAGACTACAACAGTACCCTGAAGATCCCGAACTACTCGAACTCTTTAGGAATACAGATTTTAATGATCTAAATATTGTTGACGATGAAGATGAATAATTTAATAAAAAAATTATTTCATTGTTGGTTTTTGTGAAGCGTGAATGTGCGAATATTACATTTATGTTAAAATTAACTATTAATTTATTTATTATTTTTTTAAATTAATTAAACTTTTAGAAACTTATTAATCTACCCCTGAAAATTACTAAAACCCCCTACAAAATTTCATAAAATATAAAAAAAAAAAGATAAGAGGGAAAAAAGAAATTTTGCAAGCCAGGACCGGTCCGGGTCCTAAAATTGCTCATGGGCCTAGGACCGGTCTTAGGCCCATGGGCGACTGGTCCCAAATGGGACCAGTCCCAAACGGGCCCAGGCCCGTGCCTACTTGGGACCGATCCTTGACCACCTCTACCTTAAGTTACCACTGGTTCACTTTCTCGAGCAAAAGATTTCGAGTTACCACAACATCTTCTTTGCTCTTGAAATACAAGCTTCTGCGTAGTCAATCTTTCTCAATACACGACCATGCTAAGACTTGTAATTAACTCTTACAAATTTGGACATTTTTACAACAAATTAAAACAAATTGTAAATGACTTGCAATAAATTTGACACTTGTGCCATATAGATCGAACTTGGTTGAATTCAAAATTACACAGATTGAATCACGACCTTTACAAAAATCACAATGAAAACTAAAAATTACAACGCAAAAATTTGCATTATAGACCGAACTGGTTACTAATAATACCTCTAAAGATGCTCAGCATTTTAAGGTCGGGGAATTCCGGAGCCATTCAAATTTTCCAAGTGAAAAGTTCCTAGTGCAAGCTTCTTAGATATTATGAACAGACCTTCCTAGTTCGATCGTGGGGCTCCGACATATTTTTATCATGCATATTCACAATGTTTCTGCCTTTACGATGTTTTGATGTTCTTCATAATTTTCATTTCAAATATTTCTTAAGTGTCACTAGTCTCCAAACCTATCACAATCCTTTCAAAATATTTTATTTGCATTAAGACCCTTCAATTCATTCAATTCTGCATAAATATCCTACAAGGGCATTTCGATACATTCCTTTGTCATTTTCTATTAAATGCTTTTATATTTTTATTTTATTTTCCATCAAGATTTATCTCCCACATTATCAAGCAAATTATTAAAATCCCAAATTAATTATAAATTAATTTTGCTTTTAGCATTTATCTTTGACAAACCTTTAGTTATGCATTTATCTTTTTCTTTAATAATTATTTATTAATTATAAATTATCTTCCAAGAATATTTATCATAAAAAATCTCAAAATTTATTTTGATTAAAATCATTAAAATTATCCTATTTTTATGTATTTCAAATCCAATGAATCTAGACATGCCTATGTCTAGGTAATTTTATTATTTCAATCGTCTCCCTTTTATTAATTCATTGGATATTTACATTAAATTAATCTCTCCTTTTCAATAATTATATTTCTCAAATGTATCAAGACTTAATTAAGTCTACATTATTTTTTTTACCATTAAGAAAAAGAAAAAAATAAAAAGAATTGAACACTCCTTTTCTATTCTTTAAACATACTTTCACTGTTGAGCTGAATCATGAAGAAAACATATGTCATTGATTGCAATGGTCAATTTTAAGTGAATTTATTGACTAAAATTGTCCAAGGATATTGATTTTGATATAAATGGAAGAATTGTAATATATTAATGAAATATGTTTGATTTTGATTTTGAATAGTTGAAAAAGATATAATTTAAGAAAAATCATATCATAGTATAAATTTCGCTTTAATTGATGATCAATCTTTTGATTTACATTTATTAGAAAGTTGATTTTATACATAAAGAAACCATAAATTCATACGAAAGTATTTGATTCCCAAAAAGCAGAATAAAAGAACACTTTCAACTTACACAATCACATTACTTTCACGAAAAATTTACGTAATCATTTAGAGCTACCTTTAAAATTAAGGACTGACATTATTAGTGGGAAGAGTGAATTATCGTTGCTGTTCAGCAAGTTGATTCGTTAGAAAGCCACTGCCCAACCACTTGAAAGCCAACAATTAGACATTGTTACCTTTGTCTCTTCGCTTTCAAGCTGACACTAATTATTTTCTTCTTAATTTATTGGTCAATATAATTCCTATTTTTGATGTTTTATTAATAATATTTGTAAGTATCAATCTAGCCGGTGGAAAATTGGTCCCTTTCATATTTGGCAGGCCTCGTGCTTTTCTTTTAGAGTTCAAAATTCAGCCCCCAAAGTCCACTGCCCCAAGCAGCGCCAAACTTGTAATAAATATACTATTCTGATTTGATTTATTATGATTTTTATCAAGTTAATATTATTATTTAATTATTGGGTCAACGTATAGTCCTATATGTTATTAACCATTATTGATCTAAAATAATGAGATATATAATCAGTAAGAGTTTTTAAGTTACTATCCAATATATCATATTCTAAAGAGAGCGTGGTTATTTGGTTTGAAGCCATCAACTTTGCTCCTTTATTTTGTTTACTCAATGATACTATGTCCTTTTTTTTTTTTTTTTTTTTTTCATAAATTATGATATTAAATGAAAGTATTTTAGATTATTATAATTTTGCATAATTACTACAACATAAATGTTTTAACTAAAANCTTTCATTTGCCGGGACATTATCTGCTCTTTTTCTGTCGTCCCACCAGTCTTCGACTACCTGAAGTAGAGAGTAAGGGCTGGTCTTCATCTCGGAAAGAAGCTAGCATGGGTGTCTCTTCATTGTAGTAGCTTTACCCGGACCGGCACGAACGGACTTTATTTGATCTGATCACCATTTTTCTATGCGAATGCTCGATCTCCTACTTGTGTAGAACGATCTCAAAACACTGACCTTTTTTAGGGGACAGGTAGATCTGTACCACTTTACGTTGCTAACCTCTTATTCTCCTCCTATCTCCGAGCTCCTCTTGAATCGAGGAGTTAAAGCTCAGCTAGGACAGTTCCTCTCTCCGATGGATGGGCGGGGAATAGGTTCATAGGCGAGCAAATAGCTTTCATAGTCGGAGTCGGGAATAGTCTCCATCCCTAGTCGAGCTCTTGGTCCAGACCAGACGAGTTGCCATTTCCCCTTTTCTTACTTAATCTGATTGATTTGATTGAATACCATATTCATATTAGTATATTAACTAGTTAAGTAATACTGAGTAATACTAGAAACGTGCCAACCAGTGGGAGAAAGCTTAGGAAAGTTCCCTCCGCATCGATTCCAACCTCCAGAGCTTTTGGCCTTTGTTTGCCTGTCTACCTAGGGTTAGGGTATCCTTGCCTTGCATCATCCCATCCTTCCATAGAAGATGTTATGTTTAAGAATAATATGGGCGCTAGTTCAACTTTTTCTTTCGTTTGCTAAGTAAATGTATTGAACTCGCCAAGAAGGTAAGGTTCCGATTACAAGTATGGACCTCCTTGCCTCCCAGTCCTTATTTTTAGCCAGTTGGAGAGCAATCCAGCCCATAAAATGGAAGTGCTTCTGTCTTACAGGCATTACCCTCGTGCTCTTTCTGATGCCCGGCTAGTTACAATTGAAGGTGGAGTAGCTTTGCCTTTACCTTCGCTTTTCGATCCAGTTAGAGTTGTAGTGCCAGTTTCCAGCCTTCCAATAGGCTGCTTTTTCCCTCAACCCACCCCATAATAAGAATACTATGATATGCTTAACTCTCTATCTTGTCTTGTAGCAGGGCACTTTTTCTTCTCTTGCAACATGGAATGAAGTGTATTACTTCTGCTTGCTGATGAACTAGAAGTCTTTATGCATTTTTCTTTTATTCCGCTGATAGTGCTAGCATTGCTGTCTATTACTAGTTCCGACAGTACTCATCCTTCCTAAGGGATTTTTTACTATTGATCTGGTTATTATAGGGTTAGCTCTCTTTAAGCGAAGAAGTTGTTGCTAACTTGATTCGCTACATGAGGGAAAGTCAGCAGGTAGTGCTTTCGCGTGGAGATGGTCTGTGTCTGTCTTTGACGAGAATCCGATTTTCAATATGAAATTAGCACAAGCACAAGAGCAGATAGGATGAAAATGAGTTTCAACAGCTGCCTCCTCGAAAAAGTGAATCATAAAAGGCACAACTAAAAAAGGAGTACTAAAAAGGGATGCTTTCAAGCTTGTTGAAGGGGCCCTCCTCACCACTCCCCTTCCCCCCAGTCACCTTTGATGCTTTGACCGGGGGCCTCCTTTTCCTTTTTATGTTATGATAAGAGAGACTACACCTTCATAATGCTTTACTTTATTGTTTGGAAGACAAATAAGATCAGAAAGGCCATCATTAAGGCAAACAAGGCAATAGCTTCTGTTAAAGTAAAGCAAATCCCAAGATTGCGTAACCAAACAACTGTTTTGCCAATGAAGGATTTCTTGCTACAGAATGGATCAACGAACTGAAGACATTTCCAATGCCGACTGCCGCTCCCGCTAAAGCAATTGTAGCAGCTCCCGCACCGATTAATTTAGCACCCTCTAACATTTTTCTAATATTTAGATTTTAATTAAAAAAGAAAGTTTTCAATTTCTTTGCGTCCTTGTCGATTTGGTTTTCGAATCTGCATGATTTTCTATCTTGTATCGAAATCGATGAAAGGTGGAGTCGAAGCTACTCGATCATTCAACAGGGACAGCTGGAATCTACGCTAGGATCCAACCTGCGCTACCAACTCTCTTCTCTTATGATATTTATATTTGTGCGGAAACTGACCCTCACCTGACAAACTGACTAAAGTTGCCGAAGCTTGGCTTGCCCCGTGGAACCCGTCAGCCTTTAAAAAGACTGTGCCATCAACCAATGTGGCCTTACCCAGAAGTTGTAGTTGGACTAACGAGACTTTTCCGAGATTATCAAGCGTGACTAAAGGGAAATCCTTGTTCGAAAAAGAAATGGAGGGATAGAATCCTTGTAAGTCAGAAGCCTGTCAAGGGCATTAACCAGTTCGTTGGGGTTAAGACTTTTGTTCGTGTTATCGAGCGAGTACAAAAAACAAAGGAAGAAGCATTTTTTCCATTCTCGAATCCTGTATTCTACTCTATAAGGCGAGTAATCTCATCAGAAATTAAGAATGTTCTTTTTCTTTCTTTCTATATTGGATCCAGTATTTGGTGGGCATCTCAGCCAGAGCTGCTGAATGTAAGTCAAATCATAAGTAAAGCATCGGCTTATCCAGATATTGTTATTGTAGACGGGATTGGAGAGATTAGTATGATTAGACAACATTGTCTAGAGACAATTGAGTCAGCATATAAAGAAATTCTTGACACACAGATGAAAATGCTTGAAAACGTATAGCAGAAGGAGATGATCGAGGCAGCAGTTGAGGAATTGCAAAACGAAGATATGACTGCGATACTTTTATTCCACCTGGTGACAGGTCTCCTCCTAGTACTCCCACAGTTGACTTTGGTGAATCTTCCATAGAGTCCAGCAAAATGAATTCCGATTCTCCAGCCTCGGAACCTCTAGGTTTTGATAAACGGGTTCATAATGAAGTTGCTACTGATTCCCCCCTTTCTGCCCCTCCAGGATTTGAGCAACAAAAATCATGGCCTGATGATTGTGAAGAAGAGGATAACCCTACAACGCCAATATCTTCTCCTGAGTTTCATCATGAACTGCTTTCATAACCGTATGACCTCCTCAAGGCCCCACATTCTTTCCAGTTTTGACTATATAAATAAATAAAGCAAGCAATTCATAAGCTTAAGATTGAGCTAACCCTAGCTGCATCTATCTTTGATTTCTTCTCATCTACTGTGCTTCCATAGAAAATGAGTTTGGTAATGAGAAGAAATGGATAATCAAAGATGGATAAGGAAGATCCAAAAGAGTTGAAGCATCGACAGACTTAGTTTTTGATCTACAAAGTTTTAGAGAAAGCAGATTATTCTAGCTCTCGAAGAAAAACCTCATTTCTCCGTATCAGATTATGCAGACTAAAGCTCAAGATTGGGAAGAAATTTAAAAAGCTAAGGAAGAGCATGTTAGTAAGCAGTGCATCTATAGCAAGAGTGTTGATTCAATTCAAAGCTTGGAAGAATATATTTTTTGGCTTCGGAGACACGATTTCCACTCTTCCTGAGCCTCATCATTTGTTCTCTTAAACCTTTTTTTTTTTCTTTTTCTTTTTGCAATTTGTTCTCTATCTTTTTTCCAAGAATTAAGTAACACAGACAATGTTTGCGTTACTGCATTCTATATATTTTGATTTCATGTTTTTGTCTTCTGGCAATAATGATGCTATCTATAAAGCTTGTTCAACAATATGATACATGTAGAGAAAGCGAGTTTCTATCCACGTACAATATAATTGTCCGTTTTTAGATATATTTATCTTGATATATATATTTATATGATTGAATATCTTTTTATAGTTTAGTAGCTGCATTTAGATTAGACATGAATACATTTACACATGACTTAACTAAGTGTGTTTAACTGGCGCAATTGAGGTACAGGTTTGCTACATGTACATGCTTGCACGAACACACTAGCTGTCTTTCACTCTTGCTTAATTGATTCTCACTCAAATTCAATCAAATTAAATACATGCTTCAGATTTTACCAACACCCACAAACAAACAGGCGATATAACATATCAAGGGAAGCTTGAAAAAAAAAAGTTAAAATCAAACAATTAGGGGTCCTATTTATGAAATACTAGATGGAAGGCCTGCGCACTCGGCGTGTATGTTTATTGGATGTTTTTGAAACAGTTTGTAAACAACTTTATTGTAATGATATAAACCAATTATATTTAGGCATAACAATTGTTAAACAATAACAATTTTTAAGCATATTTTTTCATAGATCATAATATTATAGGTGTTGTTGGATTTGATTATGAGTAATAGTGAGAGAAAGATAAAGTAGAATATAGATAATAATCAATAACTTGAAGTGAAATTTATCAAATATACTTTTATTATAAAGGAAATAGGTACATTGTGTTAGAATAGGTGCCCCTAAGCTAATCATATTATTGTATGTTGACTCTATGGATCATGGATATTCAATATATAAAAGGCATTGATTATATTATGTAAAGCATATTTCATATGTATGTATTAATATATGCCTTTAGAATGGTTGAACAATGAGGAGAGAATCAAGCGGTGATAAGTCTTGATTGTGAGATCCCTATGATCACTTCACATAGCCATTCTAGAAACGTCCGTAGCTAGAGTATTATCTTGACCTAGGGCACATATGATACAGTAAGGTTATCATAGCGTTGAATGATACTACCAAAAGGTAGTGACTGATCTCACATGTCAAGGTTGTTTGGTGGCAACTTGGTACGGTGCATGTGTGCTTGTGATTCACGAGTTCATTAGACTGACCCATCAAAGGATTCCATATAGATGGTAACACCAATGTCTATGAAATACATCCTCTAACAGATGGTGGTGCATATGGTCCTTAGACTTGAGATCGCCAGAACGTTGTGTGTACATATTGGTGTAGTTTGACACTTACCAAAAGTAATCCTGATAAGGTTAGCAGTATGGGAGTGATTGGCTACATCAAGAAGTACATCACGACTATGGTGGATCGACAAAGTATTCATCACTCCTGTGTACAAGAGATATTATCTTGGTGAGATTCTGCTGAAGGACAACGACCTTGGAATTTGTGGCCACATTGGAATCGAGTTGAAGCTTGATTGGTCGATTGGTTCGATAACCAAGTCTGAATAGGTCAAGGTGGTTTATATTTGAATCCGACATTACTTTATGCTTCAAACCTTGATGAGATCATAGATGATGAAAATGATTTGATTGCTTGGTAACCATGCTATTGACAGGTAGCGAATTTGCTGAATTCAAATATGTTAGGTGGCCTTGATGCCTTACCATAGGTAAATCTTGATCTATGTGTAATGAGACGATTGATTGGGTGTCAATCATGATATTACACACTACCGAGATAATAAAAAGCCTTCGGGTGACACACATAAAAGGCAAACTAAAGAAGAGATTATGTGAGCGGTATTTTTGTCATTTATTAACAAAGGGGTATTTTGGTAAATCTTACAGAGCAATTAAATTTGCTGGAATGGTTGTTGCTTGGATCCAATCCCGTATTGGATTTAATATGTAAGATTGGTTATTTATTTAAATATGTATATTGCCGTTTATATATTGTAAATAAATAAACCGTCGATATATATATATATATATATACATAGGTGTATATATGTTTTAAATATTGAAATAATGTTATTAATGGATAAAAATAATAACGGGGAAATACCCGGGATATGATTTTGTTCTGGAATCATGGACACTAATGAAATATTTAGTGGAAGGGTATTTTTGTAAATACACCTTCAAGGGATGTTAGGGCAACCCTATGAAAAGGCACTTTTCCCTAAAATCAAAGAACACTCTCATTCTTCCCTTTCTTAGCCGTGGTGAGTAAATGGTTCATTGAGAGAATTTTCTCTCAACCCAAATCTCACTTCTTCTTTAGTCTTCACATCAAGATCTAGTAAATCTCTTGTGTTGATCCTTGCCTTTGTGTGGATACCAGTGGTTCGGTCCTATACTTGGATCATGAGCATTTTTCATCTGGATCCTGAAAAAGTGGTGGAGCCTCCAAACGTGGGTATGGGTCTAATTCTTTCATGGGTCTTATTTATTGTATAGCATATGAACATCGTCATACTCATATTTGTGTTTCGAGGCTTAATAGTGTTTAATCGATAAATTTTTGTTTTTCCACTGCATCGGTTACAACACTAACACATTGGTTTTTCACTTAGTGAAGTAGATTTGGATGATGTTGATGGTGTTTATTTATTTATTTATTTTCTTAAGATTTTTCAGTTCCTTTGCTGCAAATGTATACTCCCTTGTATTTATATCATAAATAATACCATGGCAGATTGCAGATGTCTAACATCTGGTCAATGACTTCTTTGAGTTTTTGGCTAGCAGCATGTAGATCGTCTAAGTTGGTGTCAACTTTTTGGAGAACGTTCGTCAATTTCAGCGTTGCTTTAACCATTTCTAAATCAATTGGGGAAACAAAATGCAATCAAATTTTATAAATATATGAAAGTGGTACATTTACACAATTTCTTATATTTGTTTGGAAATAAACATAACATGAATTTGTAAATATAAACATGAAACGAACTTTCGACATACCAAGAGAGGATTTTTTTTGGTTTTTATTTTACTGGAAATATGTATTACTGTTTCATTTGACGTTTTATGATTCTATGTTCATACCTTTTAGTTTCTTTGGTGGAGAATTATTGTTGCTGGCGTTGTTACTGATTTTATTGTAGATTCTTTTGGTTGCGATGTTCTGTCAGCCATTGTCAAATTAAGCTGGGGAGATGCAACAAACAATGAAAATGTATAATGTTTGAAGCAATTTAAATGGGTGATTAATGTTAGAGGATTATTATATGAGAATATGATACGAAAAGGTGGAAAATGAATAGACAACTGCTAATAAATAAACATGTTGATTGAAAAAGTGTAAATAACTATTTGCATAATGGGATACAAAACGGTAGTAGACTATTCGCGCAACTTTAAAGGAAAGGGTAATAAATATTTTGTTAAATATGCAAGTTAGAGAACATTATAAGGAGAGATTGATGTCAGTGGTAAACATGTATATGACATTTATGCAATATGGTA